CTATGTAGGAACTCCATGTACATTTAACTATGCTCCGGGACCTGTTGTTATTCGGTGCCATTGGTAGGCTCCAACCCATCGCGACCCTGTGTGCAGAGGAACGAAACACTGCCCAGGCTGGTGCGGCCCTCACAATGGTTCCCAGGTTTGAGCTCACTGTGGCAGCCGCTGGTCTTCCGTCTCCTTGAGGACCTTTCCCTTTCTCGCTACCCCTCCGCTTTATCAAGCATGATGTCCCTCTCTAGGGATTGGTCTCTCCTGACAATACCGTATATACTCGTATATAAGCCGAGCTTTTTCAGCACATTTTTAATGCAGGTTTTGTGGTAAAATTAGGTGCCTTTGCTGATATTCAGGTCGGCTTATACTCGAGTATATATGGTATGTCCAAAATATGTAAGGCAAAATCTTGCCATCCTTGCCTCTAAGGAGAACTCTGGTCCTACTTCTTCCAAGACAGACCGGTTTGTCCTTTCAGCAGTCCATGGCACTTTCAGTATTCTTCTCCAGCCCCACAAGTCAAATACATCCATGTTCTCGTTTTCCTTATTCCATGTCCAACTCTACATGTATCTGAGGCAATGGGAAAGTTCCTAGTCCTTGATTTCAGATAGTCCACCATAGTATTTTTCACTCAGAATGTATTTTATTTTCTTCTCTTTTTTAAAGATATTTTAAGAAGGCGTTCAGATGGAAACCCCTAGACTCACAATTTGTTGAAAATAAATAAAACCCTTCTCTATTAAGATTTACTTCCGTTTAGCATGGAAACTTCCTTCCTGCAAATCAACTTTAAAATTCATCAGCAGTTTGTATCAATTACAGGTAGAAAGAGAGTATAATGGGAATGTCTTTCAATAATTGAGAACACGAGGGTGCCAGATGTCTCTAGACACTGAGAAGCCTTGTATTATACATATGCATGTTTTGTTTTGTTTTGTTTTTCCTCTACAGATAGTTCTTATCAAATTCTCCTTCGTCCTTTGTCTTCCTCTAAGCATGAGGGTATCAGGTTCACACAGTACAGTATCTCCCAAGACATGACTCATGCTGAACAGTCACCTCCAGTATCAAAGGCATTTCACAGAATTATGTGCAAACAGAGCATTTCTGAAACAGAAGAAACCCGTAGTTACGGGCATGATGCAAATGGCAACGTATGCAGCTTTAGAATCTCTGCTTCCACTTACAATTTGGGTTTTCAAAGGAAACAATTAAATGGTGCTTTCCCCATCCCAAGCTAGAGAAACCATTTAAAATGGAAGGGACAGTAGAACAGGAAGCATAGTCCTTTTCTACTGTACGAGTAAGGCTGCTGTTAGCTGGCCTCCTGGTGAGACGGAAGCCCATCCTCAAGTTGGTGCTGCATGTTGCTGGGGGCAGGGTTATACTCATCACACAGGCCCCAGTGTGCTCGCCCCCATGGGCACCATCTCACGGCTGTGGCAGTAAAGACTGGTAAAGACCTGGACCCTCCACGTAAGACTCCCGTTCAGAGAGATGATTTCCTCTCACTGAGCAAATGATGGCGGCATTAGCAAGATCTTCAGTGCTGACCGACAACTGACTTTGGCGTATGCCTCGCCACCGAAAAAATTCAAACACCGACAATAATGATTCTTATAATAGCAATAACATTACTGTGATTGCTGTTGCCTCCTTAGGTAAGCGCTGAATTGCTAACTGCAAGATGAGTGGTTCGAACCCACCTGCTGCTCTGCAGGAGACAGATGAGGACTGCTATGAGTGCGAGTCGACTTGACGGTAGTGAGTGTGCTGGGCCAGTTACTGAGCACTGGACCAGACGCCATGTCACGGTGGCAGAGTGGGTTACGAATTGGGCTGCTAACCATGGATCAGAAGTTTAAAACCACCAGCCGCTCTGAGGGACAGTCTCAGAAACCCACAGGGCCCACTCTACTCGGTCTTACAGAGTCACTCTGGGTTTGATCAACTAATCCGCAGTGAGTTTGGTTTCTCGTGTGGATCACACACTATTTCAACACTTTCATACATTATCTGATATACAATGTAATCGGTGTGGCCACCCTGAAATGACCAGCCTTGGCAGAAGAGTCAAGCTGGAACGACTATTTATCTTTTTAAAATGAAAAATAAAATCTATTCTTATCCAGGGCCACGCAGACGTTCT